GAGAGAGAGAGAGAGTGGACGCGAGGCGTGCGAGAATTCTCGGGGGTTGGAAAAGTGTTTCGTAAAGGGTGTACAGGGGGAGTGTACGTGTACGCGATAAAAAAGAAAAAATATGTTTGCAGCGTCACTTGTGCGGATAATCAACAATCGGGTCTTCGAGACGAACATCGAAGCAACAGAATATCGTGAGAGAATGTCGGGGGTATATAATATATTGGTGGGCGATTACGTGTACGTGGCGTGAGTGAGGTGTAAACGATAGATACTTGTATACCTGTGCACGATTCGTAGCCGTCCAAAGTAGAACAAATAAAATCTGTTACAGCTCTGCCGACCGATCGCACTTTCTTCGCCGGACGATACACATTCGAGATCACATTTGAATTCTCTTTCGCTTTCGATTTTCGATTCTCGAGAAGAATTACGAAAAATCTCGTTCGTGGATCAAGAAAAAGAAAAAGGAAAAAAAAGAGGAGCTAATTTTTCTCGTGGCCGCGATCGCTCTTCGATCAATTTTTCGGGGCAATTTTCTTTTCCAAGAAGAAAATAGGGCGTGGATGGGGAACGATTTTGGAAGAAACGTGGCGCCATATGAGGATCGCACACGTGTCCCCTGGCCAATGATTCGCTCGTTTTCGCGCGTCGTTAGGCTGGCGAGAAAAACCAAATGGCGAATTGAACCCATTGAAAGAAACGGAGGGAGGGTGGAGTTTTGGGGTAAAAAAAAGAAGTGTGTAGAATAATTTTCGAAGGAAGATCGGTCGGTACGATCGCAATCGGTCGGCAGATGACGTACACACACATGCACACGCATACGCAAAGATATACATATAATATATATATTATACATAAAATATATATATATATGTATATTTATAGGTAGATATATATATGTATACTTTTGGTTTCATATATATATATTTATATAGCGGAAAACGAACTGCCTTATTTGCATTTTGAGAAAATTAGTAGGTACCGCGAGGAACTGACGATTCATTCTGTCCCCGGGCTTCTCCCTCGAGCTCCTGGAAGTGACCACCATGGACGGCGGTTTATCCCCTAAAAGGCGATCTCTCTTTAAGTCACACATGTTCCTTTAGATGCGTAACGGTGCTTCGCTTATCGCTAAACTTAACAAAAAAAAAAAGACAGAGAACACGACAAGAATAAGAGCGGTCGCGAATAATTAATATACTATATATATCTCTTTCCAACTCGGCGACAATATCTCGAAACATCATTTTTCTCCCTCCCCCGGAGAATTCGTGTGTGTTTAGATGCATATCGAACGAGAGATAGAGTGGCTTAACTTAACACAGTATTAATATATATATTTGTCGAAAATCTATCATTATCATAACTACTGCTGTATTGGTGGTAGGTCCGCAAAAGGGATGATGGTTCTTAGTTAAAAATCTTTGAACAATAATTTGGGTGTCTATATACTATAATAATAATAATAATGATAATAATAATAATAATAATAATAATGATAATAATAATATTAACAATAATAATAATAACAATAATAATAAATATAATCAATTCGATGCAGCAAGAACAGAGAGGAAAAGAAAATAAACAAAGATATTAGTCACTGCTATGAGAACTGCACTCTATGTTAACAATCGAACACTGTATATATATATATATATATGTGTGTGTATATATGTATATATGTGTGTATGTATGTGCATATATACATATATATATATACATATGTATATATAAAACTAATGGTAATCGTAATACATTGCAGGCAGAGTCTGGTGTTCTCTCGCTACACGCAAGAAGTAAGTCGTCGTTTTCGTTATGATACGGCCCGGCCTCGAGAATTCGATCTGGATCGTTTCTGAAAGGAGGATCTAGCCTAGGAAGGAAGGAAGGAAGGAAGGAAGGAAGGATGGAAGGAAGGAAGGAAGGGGTGGATCGGTGGTCTCGCTCGTCGTGCAAGCTCGCTGTAAATAAGGTGAAGTATCACGCATCATAAAACTGGCAAATTGGCCATAAGATCGCCACTCGAGACACGGCTCGCCGTCTCTTCTTATATAATCATACGATGTATTTTCTTCTTCTATATTACGTATACATTCTCCACGATTTGCACGGGAAGGATTTTATGGATTTTACGATACAACGAATCGCAAAATATCGGGATCTTCATCCCCGATTCCGTCTTCGTGGATCACCCAGCCACGATCAGTAGTTATCGAGTAGTTGGCAAGCTCGCTTGGCGATTAATTCGAAACGGTGCCCCACATTTCACCCCTGTCGTCGTTCAGGGTTGAAAGATAATCGGTATTCCGCGCGAGAGACGAAGAATCTATCGTTTGCACGATCGACGATGATCGGCCAGGGTGTGAAAGGATGTTTAAAGGAAGGCGGGATGATGGCTGGATGTCCGATTAGCGCGATTATTCCCGTTAAACCGACCGATATAAATGAAAGCGCGCGAAGGGAATGCAAATAGATACAAACGGTACAAACTCCCTGGTTAGAAGTTACGACGAGTCTTAATTTAAAAGTTACACGACGCCGACTTCAACCCCCCCCCCCCTTACCATCGTAATATTCGTGGTATCACGGTCCGCCCACCACGATTGAAAAATACGGTTAAACTTGGAAAGCGATAAATACATCGGGTATATATCTTATATATTGGACGAACGAGACCAACGAGACGGTGGAAGGAGAGGGTGGTGATGGTGGCGGTGGCCAATCCCTCGACACAGAAAATTCGAGATCGACTCGCCACCGATCGCTGCGCCTCGAGGAATAATTGCAGCTCCTCGAGGAAACGTTCTCTCAACGTTTGGCAATCGTTCGCGACGAAACGTCGCCGTATAGCGATCGCGAGGCCATTTACAAGTCTCGTTCCAGCGAAATCATCGCGTGAAAGATCGATGGGCGGCGATGCGTGGATCGTCTCTCTCTCTGTGACGATGGAAGGAGGAGTGTGGGAGCACGCGTGGGACGAGAGGAGAGTGGGTTTTAATCTACGGGGGGAGGGGGTTCTCTCCGGGAACGCAGGTCGCTCCTGAAAACGAATTAAAATCTGTTTAATAGAATTTCAGCGTGAACAGGGGGGGGGGGTGGAGGTGGATGGAGAGTGTCGGGTCGGTGGAAAGTGTCAAAGGAGAGTAGAGGGGTGATCAAAGGCGGAGCAGGCTCGATGAGAGGCCAAAGCGTGGCCGTGACAATTTATCCTTCGCCTCTCCCTTCTCCTCGTCCGCCTGGGGGATCCGATGGACGTGCAGCAGCTCTCTTCGTCCCTCTGCAAATCCTTCGTTAAAGGGAAACTTGCGAGATGCGAGCGCGCGCGCGTAAACGGACTTACCTCTCGTAACTTTCTACAAACTAATTTTCACTAGTCACTAATAATTGTATTGTGTGCATCTACGAATGGGAGCAACAACGCCGCCCGACCGACGCAGGTCACTTTTCCTTTTTCTTTCTTTTTTTTTTTCCTTCTATCGCGCGCGTGTCGCTTATCGCGCGCGCGACACGCGCCAACCTTCGCCAACCAATTTCCATCCTCTTTCAACGCGCGCGTGTTCGAATTTCGAGTTCGATTCACTTTCGAGTCCACTTTCTTCGCGATAAATAACGAGGCTCGCCTCGTCGGATCGTGCAATCGAACAGATCGATGCTCTCTTTCCATTTTATTTATTTGACGTGTTCAAACGATACGCGTTTCGTGGTAAAATTCGATACGAGCTCCGCTTAAAAATAATAAAAGGCAATCGAAAACGGATCGAAATTGTTTTCGTTCGGATCCTCGCGGAATTCCAACGGGAAATCTAGCGGAATTCGAAACACGATACGCAGCGATGGCGTCTTTAATAAGCGCGATCTCCGCATAGCGGTGGACCCGGCCATCCGCATCAGCGCGTATGCACCAAGCGCATAGCTGTACCGCTGTCGTTCCCGTACACACGATCTCAGAATTTCTTCAACGTTCTACCGTTGTCGCACGATCAACGTACAATCCTAACAATCAGTTTGAACGCGGAAACTGGATTCTCCGTTTCCTAAGCCTTTAATCCGGTTTCGTCGAGACAGTTGGACAGTTCGAGAAATTGTTCCGATCGGTGTTAATCGATGTGATAAAACTCGCATACGATATATGCAATCGGATATTCAGGAACAGGATGGATTAAAAATCCACACCGTGGAAATATTTCATAATCGACGAGACGGCAAGAAGAGAGGGAGATACTTGCCTCTTTCGGTACAAACAAAGTAATTTCAATTCCGATAGTAGATCTGCCGAGAAAGATATAAATGGCGGAATCGACCGAGTCGACCGTCAAATTGCAATGTCTTCTTGGATTAAATTTCGATGAAGTTGGCAGGCAAGGAGAGGGGGGTCGTTTGCGTCCCGACAAGCGAGCAATTCTTGGGGTCCCAAAGGTCGATGCACAAAGAGTCGTTCGAATCGTTGTATTGGAAAAGCAATACTGGTAACTCGAAGTTATCTATAGTCGGCCGCAAATAGACTTGTTTAAGAATTAAAGAGGCGAAGAAGGAGAGGGTAGAGGGAGACGAAAGATGAAGTGGAAAAGAAAAATTCCACAACATTTTCGCAATCATCGATCATCGCAATCGATCCTCGAAATATTTGATAAACAATTTTTCCTCCTCCCTTAACGCGCATCGCTTTGATTAATAAAACTCCTCCGTTTGCAAGATTTAGAAGCCGGTCTCCGAATGATCCTTGAAATCCCGACCTCTTCATCATAATTTCATCCGATCTCCGTGACTCGTGTCGGGCAAGAAATGTCACGAGTCCACCGGGACAAGTTTAACACCCGGGTTAAATCGGTTGGCGCAATTTTTTCCCCACGACTCGAGTTAAATATCGATGCAACCCAAAAGCTAGAAGGCTATTTATAAAAGTATTAACAAACTCGGACAACAAGCGCGACGAATTAACGAAAACTCACAAGGAAGAATAAGTAAGAATCGACGTACGATTTCATCGTAGCCTATTTAAGGCAACAAGATTTAGGAGAATCATCTTCAGAAGAAGGTAAAAAGAACAAATTCACGGATTCCCTTCGACTCCTCGAAGAAGGAAGAGAAGAAGAAACTGCAATTCCATATCCATCTGGAATCCGCGGCCGCTCAAATTTTCCACCCTCGGTGGAAAATCGATTCTCGAAGTAGGGGGGCGACTGGAAGCGTAAACACCGTGGAGGATCCGTCGAGGCGAGTTCGAGTAGGGTGTGCGCGCGACGTGTGTGCCCGAGCGGGCGCATTCACGTGAAGCGTGCGAAATGTGGAAAAAAGGTTCCCTCCTCCTCCCCCGAATGGGACGACGCCTTCGAAGGGAAGGAAAGGAGGCGAGAGATTTCGATACTTTCCGCTCCTCCTCGCCGCGAAGACTGGAGAATCCAGAAATAGCAGGAAAGGGATAGATGTTTGAATTCGCCCACGTGTTGGCCGCGTGACGTCACGCGGGCCGTGTGGGCGTAGCGAATGGGGAGCGGGAGGGGAAGGAGTGGTGGAGGGTGGTGGCGGTGAGCCGTAATGGTAGGGAAGGTGAGGAGGAGAGACGCAGATAAAAGGGGCAGGGAGAAACGAAGGGAAGGGCGAATTGTAGGGTAAATTGTAGGGGTGGGAAGAAAGATCGAATTAAAATTAAAAGAATTGTAAAGAGAATGTGTGGAGAGATAAGGGAAAACAAATTACAAAATAAGGAGGGGGGGGTGAAAGGGGAGGGGAAAGGATCATAAAATACGTAAAGATAAGAGGGGAATAAAGCGTAAAAGCTGTGCAAGTGGAGTGGAATTATGTAGGGTAATACGAAGGGGGGAGGGGAGAGCGAGGGTAAAAAAAGAAAAAAAAAAAGAAAAAGGTATAACAAAGAGCAAGAGAGGAGAAGAGAGACTAGGCGGGATAGGGTGGAAGGTAGGCAAGAATCGATGCAACCCGACGAGAAGGCAGAATTCGAGAATTCCCGCAGGATAGCGGGATATACACGATCGTGGAGATCCGATCCGAGGATTTAACGGGTAGGAGGATAGCTGGGATGCCGATCGGGAGTCCGCGCGTATCTCTGGTCAAGTCGATACTCGGGGAAAAGGATTGGAAAAATTGGAAGAAAATTCACCGGATTCGAGGATTCCCTCTCGCTCGATACGGTTGTTGGGAAAAAACGAGCTTAACCCTTGAGAGCATCTCCTCAACTTCCTTCTCCAAGGAAAAAAAAAAAAAGGGGAAGTTTCCGATCGAAAATTCGATCGAAATCCTGCGACGCGTCGATTTCTCTTCGAAAGGAAGAGACAAGTTTCAAAAGAATCGAACGAATTGAAAAAAAATTCACTTGCATCGCATCGAAAAGTAAAATGGCGAAACGAGAGAAAGAAGAAGACAATGGTGGTGGAGAAGAATACGAAAGAATACGATGCGTGTTTCCAGTGGCGAGGTGATAGGCTTTTCTCTCTCGCGACGATGCTCACCTCGATCAATCGGTTCCACGGTTCACCGATCCCTAATCAACCGTGGAACCCATGCACGCGTATTCCCTTTCTCTCGAGTGGCGGCACGTCCGCTCCTCGGAAACCGCTCCTCGAATGCGTCGAATGCGTAAAAGCGATGTTGAGCGTTCTCTCACACGGTGAGCACACGGGAGAACGCGCGTGCACTGGAACGAATCGAGCCGCTGGATCTCCGGCATCGGTAACCTAAATTTACTCATTAGCCAAGGAGGAACCCGGTTACGCTCCCTCCCCTCGCGCGCCCACCACGCGATAATGCGGTATCGCTTTTCATCTGCCACTCCACTTCGTGCCGATTCACCTGCCACCGAGTAGACCTACTTTTCCGTTTCAAATATTTCGTTCCCTCTGATATTTTTTTTTTTCTCCCCTCCTTCCCCGTTTCTCGTTTCGAAAAAGAACCAATCTTCTCTACGCGTCCCGCGTTTTTCTCCCGATTTTCGAGAGATTTCCAATTTTCTTTTCTTTCTTTTCTTTCTTTTCTTTTTTTCTTTTTTTTTTTTTTTTTTTCTTATTCGGAAGAAAATCGATTTTGGCCCCGATTTTGGGATCGGGACGAGGCCGGGTGCGGAGCGTTAAAACGCTTTGTAAACACGCACGCGTACGCATACGGGGATAGATTTTTAGACTGCACGAGCATCGTATCGGTCGATTACACTTTCCTTCAACGGCTCGCCTGTAAATATCGCGATACAGGTGCACACATTCTCCGTAAACCAATTATCCACTGACACGGAAAGCCTGCGCTCTCCTCCGTGCACCGAGTTTCAAGGGCAAAGCTGACCCTCCCGATCAGCTCACCCTCTCTAATGTCTCTCTCCGTCGTAGCCGATCCTCTACACCAGCCTCTGACGGTAATTCGATGGTGGATTTGACGTTTAACCGCGTCGCTGCTGAATTATACGACTGGCACGGCGGGGACGTGACGTATCGAAAGAATGACCGGCCAATATCGTCCTCGATCAACTTTGACAGTGTTCGAGCAAACTACCAGATATTCGAACTTTTATCGTATCAACGATTGTTTTCATTTCCGTTTTAACCGGTTGTTAATCGTTACTTATATATACGTATATATATATATAATATACATATATGTGTATATGTAGAGAGAGAGAGAGAGAGAGAAGAAAAAGAAAAAGATCTTTGATTTTTTTTTTTTTTCAATCGAAAATTAGATTAGAAAAATGTCACCTCCTCCGCGCGCCGTCGTGCTCATTCTTTGTCCAAAGCATTCCCCTAAATCGCGACGCGAATCAAACACTCTCTGTCAAAATGAAAATAAAAATCAAACTCGAACTCTGAAATCGTTCACAAATATTTACTCGGATAAAAACATCATATCTATAATATATATATATCGAAAGAGAAATCATTAACTAGACACAGATCTACGATCAGTTCCGCGAGTTCAGAGATCCGAACGTGCGAAATTGAAATCCGCGGTCTCGTTCTCGAACTCGTTCGTTGGTGGTAAAGAAGAAAGATAATCGGCAGATAATTATCGAGCATAGACTCACCCTTCTCGGATTCGTCAGGCTCGTCGCTCGCACACTCGGGTGTGCTTCGCTCCTCCTCGCTGCTGCTGAAGCTTCTCTGAGGCTGAAGACCACCACCCTGTCCGACCACCGCTTGCGGGGGGTGCGCGCTTTGCGTCTGATGCACCGAATGTTGCTGAGGGGGATGTACCGCGCTTCGTGGTGGGCCCGCTTCCACCATAGGCTGATATGTCATCGCGAGATCCGTGTTCTGATCCTGTGAACCGGGCAGGGAAAAAAAAGAAAAGCTCAGAAGCGAAGAAGGAGAAGAAGAAGAAGAAAAAGAAAGAAGAAGAAGAAGAAGGAAGGATCCAGAATAGAAAGACTTTTTCTCAGAGACCGAAGAGTCAAGATTCGGTGTTAAGACAGCGCAAGAAGCAAGGTTGAAACGTGAAATGAGATGGAAATGAGGAGAGAATCGGGTGTGAAAGTGAAAGAGAATACGATTTTTTTATCGAACGCGTTTCTCGATCGATGCGCGATATATAGAGGCGAGGCGCGAGAAAAGTAGTAGTAGTAGAGTAGCCAGGATAAAGCAGACATTTCGAAAATTTTCATCCGCTTCTTGTTCCGCTTCTATAGACTTGGCTCCACTGACATCCAGCCAGTCGTGTGTTAGCTAGTCGAGAGCATCCTCTCGAGCGCCGCCTACGTAAGAATATCGTTAGCATCCGCTCCTACACGCTCCGTGGGATATACATGGGCGCATAACTTGTTGAATGTTTAATTTTCCAAGTCGCTCTCTCTCTCTCTCTCTCTCTTC